TAAATAAATCTGGCTTCCCTCCTGGCTGCAAACAGAATTAAAGTTTCACAGGCAGACTGTGATGCAGGTATAAAAAAGTCGTTCAGGTACGCTTATCCCCACTGGGGATATCATGAAAACTTATTTATAATAACAATAGAAAATCAGTAACTGAGATAGTTGGGGGTAATGGTAGGAGCGAAGGGAGGGAAGTGAAGTATATTTCTGTATTTACCTAGACGTTTAAACGTTTATCCTCTCTAGCACTAACCTTTCATGTTTAATGAATGAATCTGCATTGCAGGGTTTTTTTTTCCCCTCCATGTGCCGGCTAGTTTTAAATCTGCAAGCACCACAAAGAGGCCGTGATCCCATCTGCCTATGATTCCAAATTAAAGTTCAAACGGATGGCTTACACACTGCTGATCCTGTATCATAGCCTCTCGCGCCCCTTCAATTACTATTTAATAGAATTACAGTGTAAAATCCCAATAGTCTTAAAGAATGTTTTATCACAGACTGAAGAGAGAGAATATACAGACACCTCCAATGTTATTGAACTGTATTGCTGACCTATTTAGATATTAAAAGGGAATATTCAGTGTTCTACAAGATATTACAAGAGCTCCTTTAATCTGAAAACATGCATATGTGTGTACACATATATATATGCCTCTCTGTGTGTGGACATTGTATACATCAGCTCCACCCGATCAGCGAGTGCACACATCCAGCCACGCTTTGTGGGTGTGTGGGTTCACCCTTGTCCACACGTACACACACCCACTCAATAACACACGCTCCTCCAGGTCGTGTCGAAATTCGTGAGTTTTGGAAAACTGCAGCAAAACTTTATTGTTGCCAGATATTGCTAGAGATGTTAATCCAGTAGGGAAGCCATTCTGAAAAATACTCTTTAAGTGACCTTATTTTAAATGAACTTCCCCTTATGATGTTTCTATGGCGACCAAAAAAAAAAATCAACCCCTCCCCAAAAAAAAAAAAAATCAAAAAAACTCACACAACAAAACCCAAAACAAAAAAATCCAACCAAATATTTGCTGTATAGCTGAATTCCCCGCTAATAACTAGGACTGGAATTAAAGTCAGTCGCAGTCCGGATTTAGCTGTTGTAAATCTTGACTTCTAGTGTAGTTCTTGTCTTACTTTTTCTACTTGTTGGGCAAAGGATCTGTCTGCCGCGGGGAGAAACGATTCTGCCACTTCACCTAAGCGAGGTATTCTAACCATGCACTTGGAGGTATTTACATCTACACTTTATTCAATACTCTTTAACATCTTCCTTCTCTTACAGATTGCAAGGTGCCAAGCCACTCTGAAGCCTCCTGGTCTGAAACCACCTTACTTTCAAAATAAAATAAAAAAAAAACCAGCGTCGAAAACAAACCCTCACAGTCGTCCTTCCTCCAGACACAGCAACACAAATCCCTTTCGTATCATTTAATCACAGCTATAACCCAACAGCCCTTGCCTTTTGTCATTACCGTGTCAGAAGAGAATATTTACCATGATTGTCGGTAATATCCTTAGTGCTTTCCCTTCCTAACTCCTTCTTGCACATACAGAGACACACGGACACCCGCCTCCCTGCCTTCTCCATCCCTTGGTCAGTTTGCAACTGGATGGTTTGGTTCATTTCCTCCTTTTTTATACACCATTTGCAAAGTTCTGTGTATCTGGGCTCTCTGCGGGGTGGTGACGTGGCTACAGACCCTCTGCATTTGTACTCGGGCGTGTGCGTGTGTGTGTTGGTGTGTGTCGGTCTGCACACCCGTGTGCGTGTGTGCGCTCTAGAAAAAGGCAATGTTTGTCTGTCCTCTCCCTACACGCGGAATCCAGGCCAGTGCGATGTGGAGCTCAATAAGAAACTGCATGAATAAACACGAATAGAAAGTTGTGCTCAGCTAACCGAGGAAATCAGAGCAATACCAGGGCACCAACGTCCACATTTCTTTTCACTTCGGGCCGGGGCAGTAACCTCATCTGGGTATGCTAAAAATTAAGGGCAACGGGCAAGCAGATTCAAGTCCCTCGAAAAGGCAGCTGTAATTGATCAGACAGAGAGAGATGGGGTGACCGAAGCCCACGCCTGACCGTGGAGGGCCAGCGGCAGCCGGGCCCAGCAGGCACACAAAGGACCCCCAGCCAAGCAAAAGGGCTCGGGCAGCGACCACGGAGGGCGAGAGAGGGAGGGAGGGAGGCAGGTGGCGTCGGTGGTCCCCAGACCTCCACGCCGGATGGCACGCACGCCGGTGGACCAGCAAATCGGAGCTAGCTGGGGATGAAGGCAGTTTTATCGCAGTGTTATAGGCGAGGGGTGGGTGGTGAGGGGGTTAACAACCGTCTCCAAACTGCTCCGGAACCGGCTGGTCTCGGCCCGACTTCCGACGGGCGGGGCGGGGCAGTGCCCCCGCGGCGGAGGGCGAGGGGCGGCGGTGCGGGACGGCGCGGCCGGGGGAGCGGGGCCGCCCCGACCGGCTCCCGGCGAGGCAGCTCGGTGGGCTGCTGGGCTCCGGCCATCTGCCTCCTGTCCTCCGGCTTTCTCTTAAATATTGATCAGACGCACTTCAGCTTCTGAGTAATTTCATCTTAATCAGCGGCCGGGCTCGGCGCGGATAACAAACTAATGCTGGAGAGGGCCTGTGGATAATGCCGGGCCAGGGGCAGGGAGGAGGCAGCCCTCGGGTTTGGTGGGGCTCGATAGGCCCTATCTTCCCGGGGCAGATGGACTTAGTGGGTGAGAAGGCTTAAATGCAGCTTTTCATAGATTTACACCTCAATCAGCCATTCAGGTTTTTTATGCAAATCCTAAAACAACATCATTTATCCATTACGAAGCCCGGCTTTGAAACGGCATATCATTAGCTGCACCCTTGGCACCCCGAAACCATGCAGGCACCGACGCCCCCTCCATGAGATGTGTCCTCTCCCCCCACAAACCCCGCCGGCTCCAGGGAGAGGCGGACACCCCCAGCGCGGCTGGGGCAGCTTCTCTTTCGGGTTTGGGCTGGGGATCCGACCAAAGGAGCAACTTTTTGGGGACGGGAGTGACAAATGGCGCGGGAGAGTAAAGGCCCTGCCCTCAGGCTTAAGCTGCGTTGGAGCCTAAGGCCAGGTACCGGTGGGGCGAGGCTAAGGGCGATCTCTGGCCTCCTCTAGCAGCCACGGCATGACTGGGCGATATTCGGGAGGCTTAATCAGAGGGAAGAAAAATCCAAACCTATCAGTGTAAGACTGAGCTGAGGTAGATTATTGCTGCCGGCTTGACGCCTTCTAGCTGCAGCTTCGAGACGCGAAAATTAAAAGAAAGGGGGAAAAAAAAAAAAAAAAAGTATGTCCCAAACTTTCACGCCTCTGAATCCTTTCAGGTATTTAATTCCGTTAAAAACACTGCTGGATGAGAACGACGCTGCTATCAGAGAGGAACAGAAATACCGCCCTTAAAAACAATGTACCGACATCAAAGATCTTCCTACCCAGAGCTGGGGGTGACTGGAAAGCCAGTTTGTTCTTCTGAAGGCCTCTCCGCTGCCTCTCTGCCGGCAGGGAGAGAAAAAGCAACCCACGCTCTAGCGTGAGTCCCGGCGAGGGTGCCGGCCACTGGGGAACCTTTTATCCCCTCGTGGGTAATATTTTTCCCTTCAAAAAGCCGCGTGGGGGAGGGGAAGAACTAGGTCCATCACACCACCCACGCGGAACACGGTAGCCCTATTGTGTGTTTGCCCCCCAGACAATTCCCGTCCATTTCAGTTTCGTACGAGCGGAATTTATTTTCTATCAACTCCCCACTCGTGTTGGCGACGAGCCAGTGGCACGGCCGGAGCTGCCCGTGGGGAAGACCCCGGCGCGGGGCCATGCGCTGAGTGGAGGCCGCGGGGAGGGGGAGGCGAGCCACGAGTGGGGCGGCCGCTGCCTCGGGCCCTGCGTGTCCTTCAGCGAGGTGGCTCCTGCCACACGCGGGGACTTGTTCCCTACGTGCTCACTGCGCTCACACCCGCGGCTTTTCCTCAGGGGAACCTCAGGTGTGTGAACGTGCTCACACATCGGTTTATTCCTTAAAATTACCCACTCGTGGTTTGGTCTAAAATCTCGCACCCTATGGCGGTTCTCCCAAATCCACAGGTAGCCTCTTGAGGCTTGGGGGGGAAGGGAGGAGGGGTGAAGAGCCCATGCGCTTTCTACGTCTCTCCGCAGACCTAGCTCGGACTTCACGAAAAAAAAGGAGGAGGGAAGAGGGAGAGAGGATTCGGGCAACACAAAGGTAGATCGGAAGTCCATATTAGTTTGGAAATGGTCAAGAAATTCCAGGCACGTTTCTCTCTAAATCCCTGGTAATATTCAAAATTGTATTTTCAAGTAAAAACAAGTTTAGGGTTTACCTCTTGCTAATTCACGGCTGAATAATCTGCCCAGGGCAAAGCAAAACTTTAAGGAAAAAGAAAAAAAGGAAAGGGGAAAAGGAAAGAAAGAAAGATGCTGAAATACTGTTAGTCATGCAAATAAAGGCTTCTTTCAGCACATTACAATATACTCCGGATTCGAGGGGAGGAGCTGCAACCCGTTAAGGGCGAGGAGTTTTTGTTTTTGTTTTCATTTAAAGCTACAAAACAAATCCCGAAATATCTTAACCGCTCTCTGGAGACACCCATCCTTGCAGACAAGAGCTCGGGGAAAGCTTTTTAGCTCTCAGTGCACCAAAAAACTGACCGGAGTGGGGGGAGACGATGGAGCCCGCCGAGGCGGAGGGGACACGGAGGGACATGGCCGTGCTTCGCGCCGCTAACGCAGCACTGTGTCCCCGCTGCCGCCCGCAGCCTCCTCGCAGGGTCGCTCCGTCCCTGTAAAACCCCTCCCGGTTGTCCCGCCGGGCCGGAGGGGGGCCGGAGGGGCGGAGGGGACGCGCAGCGCTGCGCACCCCGCGGCGGGACAGAGTGCGGGGCCGGGAGCCCACGGGGAAGGAGTGGTTTTCCGTGGCGGACAGAAACACCAACATCGCTGGGTAGATAAGAAAATGGAATACTGTATTTGATTTAGAAAGTTTGTACATATAGATAAACACGCAGTTAAGGAAACAATAGTTTAAGCGTCCTACGTGGAGTTTAAGAAGAGACCCCCCCCAAAGCTGCTATGAAATACTCAAAATAGCTTTTGCATAAGATAACTACAGTTGCACCCTAAGCTTTTTTTTTTTCTTTTTCTTTTTTTTTTTTTTTTCTATAGCTGAGGTCCCTTTTGGAAACCTAACACGTCAGATTTTGACGGCTAAGTTTGTGCAAGGAACACCGAGTCAAGGAAAATAAAAAGGAGAGAGAGAGAAAGGGTTGGAGGGAGATAGAGAGAGGGGAGGAAGAAAGAGGAGAGCAAATATCATATACAAGCATTTCTACACATATATTACAAACTGGGAAAATGACCGCATCATTAAGATATACATAATTCATATAAAATTTTGAAATAAAAATAAAAATCTGTTACAGTCATAACTATTCTTTTTCCACATTTATAACCAGTACCCACACAGGCAGTGACAGAAGTGTAGAAAAAAAGGTGCTTACGAATAAAATGATTGTCTGCGGAACAAAAAAACAGAAAATTGCATCTTGGCTGGACCATCACTCGGACTAAAAAAAAAAAAAAAAAAAAAGACAGAGAAAGAGAGAGGAAGAGAGAAAGAGAAATAGGACCAACAAAAAGGCAATAAACATTTGTTATTTCCCTCTTCAAGGAGTTCCTTTTAATTTTTTTTTATTTTTGATTTTTGTACAAATTCGATCGGAGTTTGCATTTGTTTGTCTGGTTTCTGTTTGTTTTCCTTTACTATAGAGAATATTTTTTCCCAGATACAAATTTAATCATCATCATCATGCAAGTGGGTGAAATGCGTCCATGGAAAAGCGCAAAGGAGAAATCGTGCTTGTCCTAAAAAGAATACAATTGTCACTTTTGCTTTGTTTTTTTTTTTTTCTTTCTTTCTTTTTATATATATAATAATTATTATTTCCCGCCCTCCCCCCCACCCTTCCCACTGCAGCACCAGCGTTTGTGACTGTTGAAGTTTTAGCTCCATCTCTTGGTGGTGGTGTTGGCTGACGGTAGTGGTGGTGGATTCTCTGATCCCTGTCTGTTTGTTTGCTATTATGTTTGGGTCGGGTTTGGCCTTTTCTTTCCTCCCGGCTGTGTGTGTGCGTGCATGCGTGTGTGTGTCCTGATTCTAGGTTGCCTCGGTTTGTTTTGCTCGGGACGGGGAGAGGGTGCTTGGCTGTTTGGATTTGGATATTTTTGTTTGTTTGTTTTCCGATATCATACATCACATTCCGAGTCGCTGGAGGTTACCGAGAGGATGGAGGTGCCCGTCTCGGCTCTTTCTGTCAAACTGGAGACGCTGGTGGTCGGGCTGGCCGCCGTGGACGGAGACTCGGCCGAGCTGTGTGTCGGGCAGCCGGGCTCTGCCAGCGACCGCATGCCGCTCTGTCCTATCGCCTGGTGCTGGAGCCTGCATCGCGCCGGGAGACAAAACAACAGCACAGCCCCGCTCAGACACCGGGCGCGGCCGAGGGGACGGCGCCCGCCCGGCCCTGCGCCCTCCCGGCCCGGCCCGGCCCGGCGCGGAGCGGAGCGGAGCCGCGGCCGCAGGGCGGGCCCCGGGCCGGCCGCTCTCCCGCAGCGCGGAGCGGCGGCGGCGCGCACGGAGCGGCGGGCCGAGCGGCCGGGCCGCGCTGCCCCCCTGCCGGGCAGGCCGCCGCGGGGCACGGAGCCCGGGGCACGCACAGCGACAGGGGCCGCCGGCTGAAACGGGACGGGGACAAGCACTTCCCTGGGCCCGCCTTTGAAAAACACCAGCGGCGCCTTCTCTTTCCCCGGACTGCCATTCATTCCTCCCCGCAACACGGCGGGCCTAGGAGAAATCGTGTGTGGGTGAGCCCCTTTAACGCTTGGGCACCGCGAAAAGCTTCAAGGAGCGGTCCGAAGCGGGCAAGAATCGTACTGGAACCCCATTTTATGCTCTAGCCAGCACCTGCCTAAATATTTCCCGGTGCACACACACTGTGAGTCTGCGGTAGGGAAGGAGGGAGGTCCTGTCCCAGGGACGCAGCGCTATGAATAAAATAAAAGAAGGAGAATGTGGAACACAACGCTACTCTCCCCTCGAAATTTAGGTCCTTTTTTCATCTGAAAGCCATAATCAGCTTTAAAGTGCTTATTCTTTCATTTCTTTCATTGTTGACGCTTAAGGGAATATTATCTTTGAAATTTTTTTTAAGAGGCAATAAATATTTTTTAGGTACCCTAGCTTATTGCAAATATTCCCCTGGGTCCGTTTGTTCCACTCGAAACCCAAAGAAAGACTAATTCAGGGATAAGAGCTAAAAGTCCTGGACTGAGCAGCCAGCCTCAACCTCTAACACCTAGGATTGCCTGTGTGAATCAAAACACACTCTTCGCTCAAATGTTTCTCACCGAGGTATTTTTAAATTTAACTTCCTGCAAAGAACAGAAAAAATTGTAGCCGGTTTATTCTACATTTCTCATTATTTTAAGTTGTCTAATTTCAGGGTCTTTGATTTTTCTCCCATTTACAAATCCTGGTGCATTCATCTGCTGTCAACAGCGTTGAGTCAACAAAAGCATCCGTAGGCAACTCCTGTTTATTTACAGTCCTAGGCTGATCTGTTTTCCATTTAATGGAAATTAAATAGCAAGGCACTTTTAGGTTGCATTTCTCCTACAGAATCTTTAATCAGTAGCACCAGTGCTATAATTAGGTGGAATTTAAGAGACAGCATTTATAAGAAGAAGTTTTTGTTTACACGCTTATAATGGTAGCGAAACTTAAATTAAAATAAAACCTATGTGTCAAACTAAATTAAGGGTCCATTTTCATTTGCAAAATAACTTTAATGACAGTAATGAGAAAGAAAGAAAAAAAGCAAAAGAAAGGAAGAAGGCTGCCTCGCTTTTATCATGGCAAAGCGGAAAGGGGAAAAAAAAAGGAAAAATACACTGAGACACACGCAAATAAATGCAAGTGTAAATGGACAGGAAACACACGACCAGGAGGCCAGGTCGCCATGTGGTGTAAACATAGAAGTGGAGATACAGGGGGAAAAAATTCCCGGTCTCTTAAATATTTTTTGTTTGGTTTGGGGTTTTTTGGTTTTTGGTTTTTTTTTTTTTTCTCTTCTCCATGAGCCAAAGAGCTCTGGGGTGTGCCTGTGCTGGTCCCGCTGCGCATGCAGAGCAGCACGAACAATTGGAGCGGAGCCGCCGGCTCCGCCGAAACCCCCTCTGAACCGCACCGCCTGCCTCGGCCTTCCGGCCGGGGAGCCGCGCCTGAGACCGGCCGAGCACAAATCCCGGCAAGCCCAAAGCCAAACCGAAGCCCAGCGACCCAGAGCCGTGGGGTTTCCCGTCCCCCGCCAGCCGCCGGTGCAGGAGGGGAGGGAGGCCGGGAGAGTCGGGCGCTGCCCCCGTCGCAGCCGATGTGCTCCGCGCATATCTACGCACACGCGCGCCCACGGAGCTGCCCACGCCCGCCGGGAGCCTGTCCGCACCCCGAGAGCCCGTACGGAGCCGGGGCAAGGTTGGAGGCACGTCAGGCAACTTTGAGCCGTGCCTATCCCCGTCGCATCCCTGTGGCTGCCGGGAGAAGACCTACCCGCCCGGCGGGGGGACCGATTTCTCCCCGATGGAGAGGAGGAGGAGGAGAAGGGAAGGAGAGGCAGGGGCGCGCTGTCGCCCAGGCGGCTGCCGAGCAGCGGAGCGCAGCCGTCCGCCCGCACGGTCCCGCCGCCCACCTCGCCCCCCGCCCCGGAGAGTGGCACAGCAGCCCCACTGACCTGTTTTTAGCCGCCGCTGCTCTGTCTCTTTGCCTTCGGTTTTTGAACCAGTTGCCTACTTGCGTGGGGGTGAGCCCCGTGGCCTGAGCCAGTTCCCTTTTCTTGCTGGGGTTGGGGTAAGGGTCCTGCAGATACCACTCCCTCAGGAGGCTGCGAGTCCTCTCCTTGAAGCAGTGCGTCTTCTGCTCGCCATCCCAAATGGTCCTGGGCAGCGGAAACTTCTTCCTCACCCTGTATTTATCAACCGGCCCCAGCGGGCGACCCCTTAGCTTCTCGGCCTCCTGGTAGTGCGCTTCGAGCCACATGGCCTGCAACTTGCCGTGGGACTCCTTGGTGAATTTGTGGTTCTCCAGGATGTGGTAGAGGTCTCGGAAGTTGCCCGTGTGGAAGGCCACCACCGCCCGGGCGCGGAGGATGGACTCGTGCTTGTTGATGGCCTCGCATGCCCCCGGCGCCACCGGCAGCGACCAGAGGAACCTCCCCAGCCTTTCTATGTCTCCAGTCTCCTCCAGCGTCTCGCAGACGCTGGCCACTTGCTCCGGGGAGAAGTTGAGTGTGGGCAGCTGAAACATTGACAACTCTTCGTGGGGTGCCCGGGAGCTGCCGCCTCCACCGCCGCCGGCACCGGGGCTGCAGCCCGAGCCGCTGCCGCTGCCGCCGCCGCCGCCGCCGCTGGCGAGAAGGAGGGAGCGGTGGTGCGGATCGGCGGCGAAGTTTGGCAAGAAGAAATGGGTGGGATAAAGCTCTAGCGGGGACCTGAACACCATGGGATGACCGGGGAGAGGGGGAGATAAATCAAGGAGAAAAGAAAGAAAGGGAGGAAGAAGGGAGGAAAGGGCACACGCACCGCGCACGCATCCACACCCGCACACGCACACACAGCCACATAGAGGCACGGGGACACACACACTCACACGCACACGCGGGCACACGCACACGCGCGCTCACACACACCCCACACGCACACGCACTCACACACACCCGGCCCCGCGCCGCCGCCGAGTCAGGATTCAATGATTCAACAGCGATCGCCCTAATGACAACAGCCTCATAATATCTCCCCTAAATCCACAGTGAGTGCAGCGCTGAAACATTTTGTTTCGCTTTTCTATTGGTCTTCTGAGTGTCGTTGTGGCGTTGCCATGGCAGCCGCTGCCAATCACTGTCAGCCCTGCCAATCATTACGGAGTACGTAAGGAAGGTTTTTACCACTTCGCCCAAATGCACGGGGGGGAGGGAAGCCGGGCGGTTGGTGGAAAAGCCTGGTTTGTTGTTTGGATTTTTTTTTTTCCTCCTTAATCTTTGCAACTCCTAATCTCAGCACTTCCCCTTCTCCCTGTCTCTCCCCCCTCCTTCTCCACACCCCTCCTAAATAAGGGATCAAATAATGCGAAAAGCAGTGTGCACATATTTGTTGAATGGGATGAGCAATTAGAGGGTGGAATATTATTGTGATCTTAGCGAGCCTCGTTAAAGCCAAAGGAGATATGGGGGAAAAGTAAATGGGCCAGGCTGGGATACACGTTCGGATAAAGGGCTCCTAGCTGAGACAATTTACACATGATTTGCACGTAGTTTCACTTCATTCTGCCTATCTGAGCACTAATAGTGCCGGGGAAGAAAAGAAAGATGAGATCATTAGACCCATCCTCGCGCCGGTGACCCTCCCAGAAACAGGCACATACAGTACAGGCTGGGTTTAGCCCTGGTTCACCGAAGAGTCTCTCCTCCCCTCTCTCGCTCCCTGCCCCTCTCCGCGGAAGGAGGGATCCGCTGTCTGCGGAGTTCCGCGGCCGCTCCGCCGGCAGCCGCCCGGGGTGCCCAGCCCGGATCTGCTCCGGCCGCCGGGATCCGCGACCGACCCCGGCGGGGTCCCGCTCGCTGCCTCCCCCGTCCCGCTCCTCGCTTCCCTGCCCTCCCGCTCCTTCTAGTCTTCCCTTTCCCTCTCCTTTCTCTTCCTTCTCTCCACTTTGTTTTTCTTGTATTCTGGCTTTCCTCCTCCCACTCGCCTCAGCTCCCCTCGCCCCTTCCTTTCTCCGGAGCCCGGCGACCTTGCGAGGTTGCTTCTCAACCCCAAATCCACCGGGGCTTTACACTGTACCTCTCCTTTCCCCCGCTAATTCTGCCCCCCAACTTGCAAGGCTCTCGTGCGGAGAAGAGGAAAGGGATGCGAGCCAAACTGGATTTGAGCTTTAAAAAAAAAAATTATTTATTTATTTATTTATTTATTTATTTATTATGAAATTGAGAGCAGGGAAAATATACATAGTGGTGGTTTGAGTCCATCCCTCAGTAAAACACAGCTGGGTCGTCAGACCTTGCTACCATGCAACTATATTTATTATTAGGTATGTTGCTTTTAAGAAGATTTAATCAGCATCTTGAGCTGGTAACTCTTTTGTTTGGTTTCTGTAGCTATGGAAGTGTGATTTACAGAGATTTGTACGGGTCATGGACATCTTTCCAGACTTACTGTGTATATTTAGACAGGACTTTGCTTGGTGTTAAAAAGTGTATATTTTGAATAGGTTCACACACAGTAGCAAACAATACCGACATTGTAAAGGCATGTACAACGAGTATTGAAACGCAGCATCCAGACTTCAACTAATCTGCCCTCAATAAAGCTGAAATAATTATCCTAAGCCGCCTTTCTAGAAGAAAAATCATTCAGGAATTCAAAACTTTTTTAAAGATCTTTTCTGCATTCCGATGGAGATCGAGGGGTGAGGCTTGGAGCCCAAACTACTTTCAGACATCAATGGAGGGAAGGAGGGGGGGAAGTGAGATATTACAATTAAAATGTGAAAACATAGCGTGACTTGCCCTATCCGAAGGATAATAATAATACTGCTATGGGTGGTAGAAGTTCTTTAGCTGCGCTCCAAACTGGTTGTGATCCTTTCACAGCGCACTCCTCGTGAAATAATTCTAAGTGGCAGATGAATAGGTCCAGTTGGAAGAGCTGCTGGACTGGAAGAAGCTCGCTGTATGACACATTCATCTGATTTCCACTAAACTGTCATCGGTGTGCTACATGGCTTCATAGTCCTAATGGAAATAATTCGCCCTCTTAATTTTTAGTGATCTGCTTAAGCACTTCTGTTAACAGACTTGGGAAAAACTTATTTTTTACCCTCCCACCGTCCCTGGCTCATATTTCCAGTCGTACAGCTAAGGAGGGAAAGAGACTTCTCAACCCCTCTACAAATCGACTTGGAGATATTAATTGGACAACAATATGTTTAGCCAAAGATTTTAATACACACATACACACAAAATCTTTTTCTTTGTAATCCTTTCCTTTTATGTAAAGGATTACAGAGGGGAGAGTGGGGGGAATTCCTGCGGGAGTTTCTTAATATTTCATTCCATTTTACTTCGAGCTGAAAATTAAACTACCTTAAAATGTATGTCCAGAATAACATCCAAATCCAAACCGCCTCTGTAGTTTTGGGTTGGTTTTTGTGGTGTTTTTGTTTTTTTTTTTTTTTTTTTTTTAATCTCACGGACTATCATACCCTGGTCGTTCAGCTTTAGGTTACAACCCCTCTATTAGTATTCCTGATGAATCTCTAAAAGCTTCTACATATATTCTTTCTTTCTCTCTCTTTTCCTTTCTCACTCACCCCCCCCCTTTTTTTTTTTTTAACCTTTCTCCCCACCACACATATGAAACATGTAACAACTGCATTTCTGGCGAAAACCGTTCTTCCACAATATCCTTCCGTAGGGTATTTTAATGCATGTATTCTGTGTGCCTGTGTGTTTATAACCAAACAAACCCACAACCTTGCCTAGCAGCTAATACCAAGGTCCTCCTGAAGCCCAGTCTCTTCTCTGTGCCGCGAAGGTCCAGCCCGGGAGCCCTGTTAGCCAGAGGCCCTTGCGAGGACGGAGCCAGCATCCTCCAACGTTTCCGCCGGCCCCCGCGGCTGGAAGACGCGGGCCACCAAGGCGCGGTGGTGGCTCGCCAGACCTCGGGGAGCAGAACCTACGCCTGCCCAGCCCGGCCGGGGATTCAGCGCTCCCCTAAGCCTGTTAGGGACACACTCTCATGTCCTGAAATGTGCAAGCAGATAATTGTTGGCGCTCCAGCTTTGTGTGAGGAGGCCAGGGTGTAAATGGCTTTTAATGACTGCAGCTGCTGGCTGCAAACTGTCAATGGGATCGGCTAATACCGAGCCCGGACCCGCCGGGCGCCCAGCCGCAGCCGCCGCCGCCGCCGCCGGGCGGGCGCAGCCGCGGGCGCGGAGCGGCGCGCGCAGCGGGGGCCCCGCCGGGCGCGGAGCCGGGCGCGGTCGGCGGCAGCGGGAGCGCGGCGGCGGCGGCGGCGGCGGACGGGGCCGGGCAGAGGCTGCCCTCTCGGCTGGGGAAATCCTTTCCGGATCCTGTAAGTTTGGTACGGGCAGGCGGAGGTCCCGCGGGGAAGCGTCCAGGGGGTGCGCGGCCTCCCCCTCCTTCCCCCCGGCCCTTCCCCACCCCCGCGCTGGGGCCCGGGGTCCGGGGCCGCGGAAGGCGGGGTCCCTCTGCGCTGACGATGGCCGTCTTCTCCAGGCCGGGGAACCTGCCGTCCGTTTCCAGTCAATCTTACTTGGTCCCACATGATTTATTGTTTCAGCTGCTAGAATGACATGTGGCTCTGAAGGGCAGGGGAGCAACCCTCCCCTTCTCCCCAAAAACCTCCCCCTAAACAAACCCGGGCAAGCCAGTGCTCTCTTGTGGAGGGAGCCGTACGAAGTTTTGTGCGTGTGCGTGTGTGTCGGGCTGCCAACCTGAAGGACTTTTCTGGGGAAGGGAAGCAGAGAGAGAAGCTCTTTTATTTCACTGCTTGTTTTGATGGACGCTCCCAGGAGGCTGCGATTTTCTGCTGCCTAGTTAGTGCCCCTTAATCCTGACTCGGGAGTGACTCAGTCGACGCTTGCAAGCGCTGATTATTTTTTTTTTTAATCAGGGGGAGGCAGTGGTTCAGACGGGGCTGGGGCGTAGCAGTCGAGGTACCGGCGAGAGGAAAATGCAGCACTGCGGTCGCGGCGAGGGGGAAGCCAAAAGGGGGGAGAAAGGGAGAGCCAGGGGCAGGTAAAGGAGAACCCATCGCGTTGGTCTTGTTAGGCTTTTTATATTATTAATACAACGATTTAACAGGATTTTTTGTCAGTCTTCAGGGGCAAGCGCTGAGCAATCTATGCGGATGCTATCTTTAAAAACACATCTATCTTCCTCTTTCCTTCCTTTCCTCTTTCTTTCTTCCTCTCTTTCTTTAGTCACGATTTCCCGGGATAAATGAATGCGCTTTTGATGGGTGTGTAAGATGTGGCCCATCCGGCTCCCGTAACAGAGCTCTGTGGATGCGGTGTGTGCTGTACCGGTCGTGATAACAAACAAGTGACAAGTGATGTTTTTTTTAAGTTGCTTGGATTGGCTTAAGAAGTCGAGGGGGTATTTAATTAGTGTTCCAAAATACTGCTTCAGCTTCCAAGTTAAACTTCCGGGGACCCCTCCCAAGATTTATTTTGCATAAACCCTGAGGCTGGATGAGGGAAACGTGAAATACCAACAAATTTTTAATTACTCTTTTTAAAAAAAAAAGTGAGAAAAGGAATGCAGCTCGCCTCAGCGGTGAGACGACGGCTTGGGAAGCAGAAAACTCTCCCGAGAAGGTGAGGGAGCCGCAGCCGCCTCCCGGCTGGGCTGGGCTGCTTGCCCCCATCCCTCTGGATCTGCTGGCAGCTCCCGCCAGTCCAAAGTTACCTGCTCTGCAGCAGAAGCAGCCGTACAATCTCTTACCCCCGAATTAAACACAACTCTTAATGATGTAGCATTATCAGCAAGGGACACTTGATTGACTGATCTAGGTATGATATATGTGCTTGGCGTCTAAATTAAATATTAAGTGAAATACTTAGCTCTAATTAGAAATCGTAACCTAGCGATGAAAACTTGAAGAAACAAATTGTGGGGGGAGGAGGGGACAGGTTTTAAATGCTTCGGAGAGGAAAGTAGCGGTGATGTGTACAGAGTCTGACATATTAGTAACAAGCAGCAACTTCGAAATGATTGACGTGTCATTAAAGCCATCAGGCTGATTTTAATAAATCTTCAAGAAAAAAAAAAGGAAAGAAAAGCAAAGAAAAGTGTGGAACCTCGCAGACAGGTTATTTATTAATCAGTGCATTAAATCCGAGATAAACACAATTGGAATGGGGGGGGGGGGGGGGGAAGCAGAGAAGGCGGGGGAAAATCTGTTGACGAGTTTTGCAAATAAACGTCCATAAAACAGCGACCATCCAGCTCCGGGCTTCTCTGGGAGATGGAGATGTCAGAGCCAGATGCCTTCTCCCCCGAGTGTGCCTTCCCAAGGTAAACAAGCACACAGTTGTCTCAACTTTCTCCTTTAGTACAAAGTTCCTGGTGCGACGGAAAATTTGAATATTTTATCAGTCTCTTGTAGTGACCCTCATTAGGTGGGCATCCTGCTAAGGCCTTGGCGTTACAAGAAAGCTGCCCAATCAGAGCATTTGCACGCCTTGTTAGCGATGGTTAATGAAGCTTCCCCATGCACTCAAAGAAAGGCCCCCTCGATGTAGATTTACCTTATGTCAACTCGTTACTTCTAATGAATCGCATCAAAATTCTTCTCTGAATGGGGCCGAGGCGCCCGGACCGGGATCCCCTCCCCGCCCGGCGGAGCCCACCCCTGCCACCGCCGGCACTTTAGCGGAGAATCCGGGACCAAGGTGACCAGGCGCAGTTTGGCGGTGGGGAGGGGGAGAAGAGGCCGAGGGAGGGGACGGAGCGGAGAGTGCGGCCGGCGGCGGCGGGGGCACCGCAGCCTGCGGGGGGGCTCAGCCCGGCAGCGGCTACCGGCGGGGGCAGCGACTGCGGAGGCTTCGCTGCTGGCAGGTAGACGTTCGCTCTTCGCCTCTAATTTCCAGGCTCCCCCCCACCCCAACCCCCCACCTCCCCGTCCCTCCGGGCTGGCATTTTAAAATCAATTAGTATTTTCAATTCTTGAGGTGAATTATTCAAACAAATGTTTGGGAGACCCTGAGGGAGAATTTGGCCGTGACAAAAGGTTTGATTAGCTTTATTTCCCCCCAAAAGCAACAAAGGCGTAGGGCTGCGAGAACAATCCGCTACATCAGGGCATGTTCAATTAAATGAAAGTCATTAGCTTCGCCGTGAAAGCACTACCTTTAAAATCAGATGGGGCGGGCGGGAAGGGGGGAGTGGGTGTACTCTGATAATTGTGGCTGGAGGATTTAACACTCCCCCTCCCCCTATACACACAAAGCCCTCCAAAAAGAAGAAGAAGAGGGGGGGGACCCAAACCCAACACTTCACCCTTTGGAAATTTGTGCTCAGTCTAAACAATAGGAAGCCCATAATGCAGATTATAACACTCACTGACTCGAATCCATTATCTGCCCTCCACACTGTCTATATATTGATTTCCATATACTTTCTATTGCTCTCAATGACTGAGCAAAGCTCCAGTTAAGAGCCCGCGACACACAGGAGCGCTGCTTGAACTACATCTCACCAATACAAGCCGGAGCCGGTTGTAAACACGAAATGCTCCCACTTTCCCGGTGTAGCTGTGAACAAGCACACTACCACCCCTCCATCCCCGCAAGGAAGCTGGCGGCCGGGCAGAGCCGGTGTGCTGCCCCGGGGCCCCCTCCCGCCGCGGGGAGCGTGCGGATCCCCTCGGAGCCACGGCCAGGTGCGCACGCCCGCGTCCACGGGAGAAATCCCGGGGCGCCCCGTCCCCAGAGCGCCGGGCCGCATGCGGGGAAGGGTGTCTGGGTCCCCTCGGGGCACAGAGCCGGCATCGCCGGGCGGGCAGAGCTGGGGAGCTCAGCTCCCCGCCCGTGGCCCTCCGCCAGCAGCCCCTCTCCCCGAGACCCGAGCTCTTAATGAGGGATGACGGTGGTTTCTCTAACTTTGAGACCCAACAGAGCAGAACTTTGCCAAGGCAGGATCCTCCGGACGGTAAGTTTGATATTTAGATTAAGATCACTTCCTCACGGGCTCCTGCAGTGTGCGTGTGAGTATGTGAATGTGAGGAAGACGAGGAGAGGGAGCAAGCTCAGCTCAGAGTGACCATAAAAGAGAGAGAAGAAACCACCAAGAGCACGACTTGATTTTTTTTTGGGAAGTGCTCTTAAAGGGAGGTGGGGTGGGAGCGGGAGGCCGCCGAGGCTGAGACGGGGAGCGCAGTCGAGCTGCCCCTGCCTCTTCTCAACCTCCCTCTGCAGGGCATTGCTCCAGGCGGAGGGTAAGAAGGTATCGAGAGGGTTAAAGTGCCGGGCAAGATGTAGAAATTTGGAAGCGAATATGTGTCGGGGGGAGGGGGAGTAAAGCGGTTATTCTGCTGCTGTAAAGACCCCAAATAATCCACTTGGAACCTGTATAGATCGGAGAGATCCGGGACAGCGTCTTAAACTGTCACATCTCCCCCTCCCCCTACCCCCCCCCCTTTACTTTAATGAAGATTGTTAATTTGCTTCGAGGCAGTGCTCTGGGTTGATAAGTCCTCCCCAGCTAATATGTTAAAGTTTAAATACCAGCAGGTGCAAATTCACTCTACTTAAGGCTATAAAAATAATGCCGAAATTCAAGAGCACAAGAAGTCAGCCTTTGTATTGTGATTTATAAAAGGGAAATTGCGCTATACATAGCCAACTATTTACCAAAAAAACCCAACCCCCAAAGCCCTGAAAGTGCTAAACTCTTCTTAATGATGCCGAAGGTGAAGTTGTTTCATATTGGACAAAATGGGAATTATTCTTTGTCATGTAAATCACCCTTCACTTGACCTCAGGTTAGAGGATAATGTTCATTCTTAGTTCACACTAAAACTTATTTAAATTAGAGAGCCTGAAGAATCATTTCACCAAATCCGTGTAATAAAGTGAAGAGGACTTAGGGATCGTCATTCAAAAAAAACAAAAAAAAAAAAACACCCAAAAAAACCCACCAAAAACCAACCCCGTGGGTTAGGAACGTGTACTTTAAAAATTGGTATTTGCCACAAACCTCGAGGATTAGGGGGTTTTTATTTAATCAAGTTATGCTCCTTGGATTTCCTGAGAAATGTGTATATAATTTCTCATAACAAGATTAAAAGAAAGGAAAAGATATGAATCAAAGGAGCTATAGATACACAAAAGACCTCCAAGTAACAATTACTGTAATACATATTTTAAAATAGGAAAAGAAATGAAAAGATATTTAACAATTGTGTAAAACAGAAATGAAGGTTTGATAAAGAAGATGCAGCTTGCGGTGCTATTTCATTCGATAAATATACTTTTGGCGTGGAGTGACAGGATGTGTTATTTTGACACAAAATGAAAGCGTTACTGCAGATACAGAGACACAGATATACACGAAGACAGCTGTATACACTCATTTATAAATTAGTGGGTGCACGTGGAAGGAAATCTGAGCGTCTGTACTTTCCAAAGCAGCACTGAAAAATATCCCATAGGTGAGGTACTGGGCTGAGGTAGGTTTAATATTGAAGTGCTAGAGATTATTGGAAATCAAATAAAAATTCGACACGCACAGACCCATTAGAGGATTTAGTGGTGAGGAGGGAGAGATTTTCCAGGGCTTTTGTTGCTAATGTTTCAATGCTAGGCGCTAACTTTAAGAAAAGTGTCAGTAGAATAACAAATTGAGGGCATGAAAGGCCACGGAGAGAAAGCAAGCAAGGATGCTCTTGACTTCTTAGCAGTTGCTTAGAAAGGATCTCGAGCTTAATATGGGGACTCAATCAGCGCCGAGCACAAAGCTGGGCAGAGGGAAGTTGGGCTCAGCACGTGCACTTTGCTCAAGTCGCTCGAGTGAGCACCGGAGGGGGGGCGCGGCGGCGCGGAGCCCCCCGGGCTGCACCCCCAGCCCCCCGCGCCTGGCACCGGCGGCCGCGGGCGCCGCCCTCCCGCATCCCGGCCCGGGGCCGCCGCCGCGGGTGGGGACGGGGGTGGGCAAACGCACGCCAGGGGCTGTGCTGAGCCGGTGCCCCTCTTTCGCCTCTGCCACAGGGCAGGAAAAAGCCGCCCGCCCGGGACAGGCGCGGGGGCCGAGATTGGGGACTGGATAGAGCGCAACTTGTCCCTTTACCGGAGCACCAGCAGTAGGTTTTGTTAAAAGATTCTGCCATCAAATTCGGTCTTTCTGAGAGAAACAGCCGATTTTAAAGCCCGTCTGTAAAGATTTTTAACAGCTTAACGAAATATCAGAGATAAGGGAAACCTGGAAGATGCTCCCAGGACATGAGACCTTAATGTGCTCCTTCAGCGGCGGAGGGAGCTCCATTCTGTTCCCTGTACATATTATACTGCAGACAGGGTTCGATGTATACTCTATTTAATCTTGCTCTGTGACAGAGCTGTTTAAGTGTATACCATGCCTACGTTCTTTGTATCAAGACCAAAAGGATGCATTGTTGAAATAAAACTATTCAAAATCTTTCATCTGATAGAAACGATCCAGCAACTGTGAGGCAGCTACAGCACAATGGTTCTGTCTGCATAATAGGTACCTCATAAAAATACAGCATGTCATTGCAACAAGAAGTTAAAAGTCTTAAATGCATCCATCTTATATATTGCATGAAGTCAATAATATTCTAACCTCTCCTGCACCCCGCCATTAAATGGTACACGGCACTTTAAAATCGAGGGCATTGTGATTGAAATCCCAGTCTCTAGCAGAGAAAGAGGGGAGCAAGGTAAGTTAGCAAGGGCCATTACGGATGTAATGACCTCAGGGTAAATATTCATTAGGAAGAGGGGATTCCTCTTCTAATACCCAGTCTATTTTCTTTGGAATGCAATATCACGGAGAATAATGTGGTAGCAAGACCCAAGATTTAAAAGGAGATTATTGCTAAGTATGTTGGGAAGAGTTTGGGAGATCCTTTTTTTCCCCAGACACTTTTCTCAAGTGGGACGCAAATGCCAGGAATAGCAATTTTTAAAAATCATCTTTCTAATTTTATTCGGAAAACTAGAGAAGCTTGCTCCTTGCTTAGCCCCCGGCAGCAGAAAGAGGAGAACATTTAAGCAGCTCGGTGAGCAGCCCTGCCTCTCTTTTCCCTTGGTAGGTGCACTTAGACGGCGGCAAGAGAGCCTGCACACCCCCCGGGGACAGAGTTTGCCTCCTGAACTACACTTCTCTTAATGAAGAACAGTAGCTCCGACCTCCAAACCAACTGGGACTGGCGCTTTAAAGTAGCTGCGAACAGTGCTCCCGTGTCTCAACATGGTCACGTAGGAATTTGAACCTTTTAATTTCCAGACACAAGGAATAACTCCCTCGGAGCACCGGCTTGGTTTAGGTGGTCGATTGTTGGGTGTTTCGGTCGGAGTTTTTGAATTTTTTTTGTTTCTAATAAGGTAGCGAGGGAAGATGGGGTACTATTCCCTTGTAGACACAGAACATAAAGGGGAAGAAAAAGCCTAGCCGGGGCATATTTGGCTGTAGGGAACCTGCCCGAGCCGCTCTGTATCCCCGGCGGGATAGCGGTCGGGGCTGCGGGCGCTGCCGCCGGCCCGGCCCAGCCCTCACCCCGGCCCTGCGCGGCAGCCAACGGGCACGTCGCCTGGTGTGACCTTCAGGGAGCACATTTCAACTGCTAAACACCGAGAAAAGTGCTTCTCTCTCTCGCAGGCGCCATATTACCGCCGGGAGCCGGGGCTGGGGCGGGGGGAGGGCGGGTGCGCAGTTAGTCTAGTTTTCCGCAGTTGTTAATTCAGACTGGACGAGCACTCGATGGCTCCATAAAAAGAAAAAAGAAAAAAGAAAAAAAAAAAAAAAAGAGGAGTACTTTGGGATTATTCTTTTCTTCTTAGCCCCCCCCCGCTATCCCCCCTTTTCGAGGGGATGCACTTTGTAACACTGATGCCTGCTCTGGGACCCTGCGGAGCATCCTTCCCCTCCCCGCCCGCTGGGAAAGGGGGTGCTTGGGGGGCGATCCCCGAGAGCACGGTGTGTCACGGGGCCCCTGCTCAAGGCCACGACACTCGCCTTGCCCGAGGGCCCGGGCACCCCCGGGCAGCGCCCGAGAGCGCCCAGCTTCCCCCATCCTGCTGCTTGCCGGGGAGGGACTGGGAAAACTCCCTAAACCTTGCTCCCTCCGCGGACACCCTGTTTGTGCTGGAAAGGCTATGAGGCTCAAAAATGAGAAAATATCCCCAGCACCACTTTCTCCCGGTGGAAAATGATTTCCTAAGCTGTGGGTCTGCACTTCACTGAGCTCTCTGCTCCCTCACTTCTCACAGAGACCTGCTCCTTAGTCAAGGGCGCTCTTTTGTCTTTCCCTCTGCGCTTGTTTTTTTTTTTTTAATTGTGAAAAAAACTAACCAACCCCACCCAAAACTCGACGACAACAACTTCGGTAGCTATGCAGAAGTGGAGGAAGCAGCACCGCAATCGCGGCAGGGACACAGAGAAGCCGGACAGAGCCGCTCCTCCCCTGGGCCGCAGGGCCGGTGCCGTCCTAAAGATTCAAGTCCTCTCAGGATTTCGGAACAAAGGCAGCCCAGCCCAGCTCCGCCACGCACGAATCTCCATTGTAATCCTGGGCTTATCCTTTCCCCCCCCACTCCCCTTTCTTTATGTGCCCTGTTTTCCAGCCTGCAGTTCCTGAAGGTCAGATGGAGAGGTCATAGCTCTGCATCCCCTATAAATAGATTTTGATATTTAGACAGCTATTGCTACTCGATATTAACTTACAGGATAATGGCGAGAGATACCGTATGCGCTGAACCTGTTATTCACGAGTGAGCAGCATCTGTCGAATACAATTCTCGTCTTTTTGCCCTGTTTGGCTGTAGCACACATCAATAGGGCGAAGGACGTCTTGAGGCTGGGGTAGGGACGGGGAGCAGGACGGCTCTGCGGGGGCAAAGTTGCAAGAACAGTGTTGAAACTATACGAGGACTTAGAGAGCTGAAGTCAAGAGCCAGGTCGGCACAGACCGGCTCTGAGCGAGCGCAGGACCAATTCAAGAACTGCTGCGTAAAGATTCCAGCGGGCTTTTGACACTTCACATTAAAATATTATGAATGCTGCTGAGGTGGAAGGGTCTTTCCTCCACACACTCACAGCCCTATTTCCCCGATTTCTGACTTTTAAAATCATAGGTTCGAGGTGGATCTGAACCAGAGGCTCAGAGCTCACCACTAACCCTTTCGCTGCTTACAGAGCATTCAAGAGAAGGCAAGGTCTCCAAATGTGGGCAATACTTTGAAAGGAGCACTAAGAGTTCTCATTTCCTTTTCACAGAGCATCCTCTCTTCTGGCTGCTCCCAAATCCTTCTCTGCCTTTCGCCACCTGCGAGGCAGAAAGGCCTTTACACTCCCGGCCGTCCTGGGTGCCGGCACTTTACTTGGCAGTGAGATTAAAATGAAATTCACGGCCGGGACTCAGGCTGAGGCTTTAGAGGAAACCCACGCAAAGCCGGGATGCGCCGGTCGGGGACAGCCAGCGCTTTGGGAACTGGTGGGACTGGCGGGCAGCGGCGCTGGTCGTGTCCCCGCGGGACGGGGAGAGGAGTCTGGCCAGGCTAAAAATACAATTTCTCCCTCGTTGTGCTGGATCACGCGCGGGTACTGCTCCCTCTGCAAAAACTGTTCCCCTTATCGCTGTCGAGACCGCAGTTTTAGAAACTAGCTGTGATCAAGATGTTGTGTAGCAGGACGGGGAAGTACGCAAGCGTTTCCATCTACTTACCTGGGCATGGGAGGGAAGAGGGGGAGGGTCATGAAAGGCGCCGATTGTGTGTGGATTTTGAGGTTAAAAAGAGGTAACCTGGGGAAGGGGAGGGAGGAAAGGCTCTGAGTGGCTTAATTTAATCAATAAAATGTCTGAAATAGTTGTCGAGATTTGATTCTCCCGTTTGCTAGTTTAACTTGCCCTTCAGTGCTCATGTGTAACATCTGTTACTGTGCGCGTACAACTGCATTTTGGGGGTGGTGTGCGCTTTATTTTGAGAAAAGGGATAATAGCCAAAGAAGAGACAAAAGAGGCAGTTTTAAGATGCTGCGACTTTCTAGAGCCTGGCGGGTTTACAACCAGCTCAGCAGCAGTGAACCAAACTTGCTGTCAGAAGTTTACCGACGCTCAGGAAGGCTGCCGGGCCGGGGACCCGCGGGCTTTGTTCCGCGGGGAACGAAGCCACGGGAGCTGCCATGGCGCTGTCCCCGGCCGGCAGCACGCTGGCCGCGGAGCTGGCGGAGCTCTCCCGGCGGGGCAGGTGTGTTCCCCTCCGGGCCGGCCCGGGGAGCCGCGACCGCCCTCCGCCCGCCGAGAGAGGCGGCAGCGCTTGTGCCCGGAGCCCGACGGAAGAGGCAGACGCGACTTTTCTGTGTGTTTTCATGGCTTGCCTGCGAGGAAAGGTGCCGTCTCTTTCCCCTCTCGGCCTCCTCCGCCCATCTTTTCTCCCCGGGAGCTCCGGAGGGAGCCGGGAGGGGCCCGGCGCTGCACGGCCCCGGACACACAGGGACGGTGCGAGGGGCCGGCGCAGCCCCCCCGGAGCGGCAGCCCGAGGGCTGCAGGGCAAAGATCTTGTGCTCCCTCTATCTCGGGGCTCTCTTTGACCTGATGAGCTGCTTAGGACGAGCTCTTACAATAGTTTTCCCGTAAGAAAAATCCGAGTTATTGTGAAGTGCAATCCCCATACATTTTTAACCATAGTGATTACTAAATTAATAGCAGGCCCAAAGACAGATGTCAAAACGTCTTGAAAATGTTTATCTGTGAATAATTGAGAAGGTGGTAAGACGCATTATCTGATTGTATAATGAAATATGCATGAGGAACAGCTGTTTGCAATAGTCACCTCCCGTTGTTTCATTAGCCTAGAGCCTCCTCTTTAAAGAAGCGCTTTCCTGAAGTTGGCCATTCAGCGTCCTCCGCTTCCACCGGCGCCGGCGGCCGAGCCGGAGCCGCAGCGGGGAGAGGGTAACCCGGTGCTGTCCCTAGGCCGGTCCGCGGGCTCTCCCCGCGGCATTTCTCACAGCTGCTCTGCTTCTAGGGCGGGAGGGAAGAGGCACGGATGGGGTCCGAAGATGTCTTGCCGGGCAATCTCAACCTGAAGAGGACGCCCTGAGAGGAAGAATCCTAGATGCTCATCTCGGAAACACAGCAAACAGCCATTTATTAAGATTTCATGCCGAGCAGCGACAGCCTCCTCGAATGCTTAGCGTTGACATAAACTTCCAGACGTCGAGCATATGCTGTTGCACAGCATTGTTTATGTGTGGTACCAGATGTTGCTTTGCATCCTATTGTCTGGAGACAATGTTTAGTTCAGGTTAAAATATCTTTACTTAAACTGCTCAGTTGGCCATTGTGTGAGCATTAGTGAAGTGTCATGGAGAGGTAATGGGAAGTCCGGGGAGGTTAGCTCTCCGAGCATGGCCAGAAGGTCCCTGGTTCATGGTGGGGTTACAGCCACCACTGTCATCTTTTGTTTTCCCTCCTCAGAGAACCCTTGTCCTTCCTCTAAAAGGATGTGCCCCGCTCTCATTCCCTTCGGAGTTTTCTCCACCGTTTCATGAAACGGCCCGATGTTTGTTTTTCTAGTTCCCCTAAATCGCCCGAAAGAGGAAAGGAAAGCACGGTCCTGCGTCACCGCCACCCCAGGCCGGGCCGGTCCAGGCGGAGCGGGGCGGCCCCACGGCCCCGCCCGGGGATGCTGGCGCCGGGGGGAAATGGGTCCCGGGAGCAGAGTTCACGCTCGAGCCAGGCCGGCGGCTCCCTCCCCCAAAATGCCCGGCCGAGCCTCCTTCCCTCCCTCCGTCCCTGGCCGGGCGAGCGAAGGGGCGGCAGGGCGAGCGGGCCGGGCAGCCCCCTCCCGCCGCCCGGGGGGAAGCGGCCAGCCCGGAGCCTTTTCTTCCCTTTAACCCCGCAGTTTGGGCCGGCCGCGACAGCTGACCTGTGGCAAGACTTTTGCTCCGGGAGAGAGGGGAAAAAGCTATAGACTTTAATCGGATTTCTCCCCAAACACTTCTGGTATGTTGTTGTTATGCATCTATATGGAGATCATTATTTATAAATGAGCGAGTACGATCAGTCGCAAAGACTTTAAGAGCCCGGATTTGTGTCATTAAGTTGAGGGCAGGGTGTGTGACTTAGCGGGGTGGTGGCCGCTGGGGATGGGGACGTCACTTGCCGCCCCGCTTTCCCTCCAGCCGCCGGGTCACCCCGGGCGGGTTCCCCCCTCTGGAGGCGGTGCGGGCCGGGGCTGCGGGCCGTGCCCCGCCAGCTCCGTCTTCTCTCCCTGCAGTCCCGCTTAACACAGTGCAGACAGATTTCCCCGTGTACCAGGTGCCCCACGAAGAGTGGAGAAGAGGTGAGAACATTTTCAGAATCAGCAGGTTTTGTCGGTCACTCTAGGCCCTACCTTCTCTGCTCCCCGACATTTGTGAAGCCACTTCAGGGCACAGTTAACATCTCTCTAAATGCTCGAATTAAACAAAAAGCCACATTGTGTATTTCAGCATTGAAAGCGGAGGTTTGCAAAGTGATGCACCGTATAATGTAGATGTGTTTGTGCGATTTTCAGCATTTTTGCCCGTGCATAATCCCTTATGCCTTTTATTATAGCCCTACACATTACAGTTCATCTGTAAAGATACTGCTTCAGAGGGACCTGTTGCACACAGTGATGGTAATTAGTAACCTTGGTAACAGTTTTAAATAAAGGTTATAACAATGATGTCAACTGTTTTTATTCATCATACCGTAAATGGGGTCTCAATATTATTGTGCCTGTAGAGGACAGTGTTTAAGAAACAGTTATGAGGTTCTACTTTACTTATTACAATGCAAGTTATCACTTTTTACCTCGTCCTTAAGTAAACAGGATTGTGGTTCTAAATACTACAAAGATTTTCAAACTGCCGAGGACTCTGTAAACTTTAATTTGCTGAATGAGGTAGATGTTATTATGAATTAGACTTATCAGGCTCCAAGTACCCTTATGAAGAACACTGTAGTCTTCCAGAGAAATACCTCAGAATAAGTACTGCTTAGAAACCGTAATGCTAGCAGGGGCTATACCATTAGCCTTCTGCACAGGCTATCTCCTCTATTAAAGCTTACAGAAAATGCTCACAAGCTGAAAGCTAAATTAAATATAATTGCTTTTATTTACCTATTGCTTTCATATAATTAAAATATTTCTAGTTACATTTATCAAATAGCATCCACTTTGAGTATTACCTGCCACATCTATTAATCCATTTTTCTGTATTAACTACACCACCATTAGCTATTGAAATATGTATATATACACATATATATTACCCGTATTGTCTTTGTCAAGATATGTTTTAGTTCTCATTAACAAAAAATATTCTTGTGGAAGAATCTCTGAAGCATGTTTTTCATGCACATTTATTAATAATCACAGTTGTCAAGAATTAGATATGCACAGATTGCAAATGGAAAGAAAATGTTATATTCAAAATGAAATATAGAGTAGAATTGAGTATAACTGTTTTCCTCCTTAAAATAAAAAATTTACAGAATGAAAAATGGAGCTATTAAGCTTACTTAAAAGATGGCTTTGTTGGTTTAATTATACTGTAGTTATTTTATAAATATGTTTCAAAGGAAGCTTGCCATATTGAATGTCAATGAAGCCTATAAAGAAAAGACTTACAGAAGCTAATGCATACCAAATACCAAATTTTAGTCATTAGCATTCCTATTTATTACAAACTAGAGGAACCTATTAACAGACAAGAATTTGTGTTTAGCTAGCATTACAATGTTTAGCCATTAAAATAAAAAAGGGCAAAAACTTACAATCTTCTTCCCCTGCCCTTTAGAATTATATGTTCCTTTTACTCAGACAAATGTATCAAAAAGCCTGATAACAGAAACTGTGATTCTTCATTATTACCATCTGTACCAAAGCAAAACCTGTATTGTTTTATTCAGCCGAAATTTCTACTTTTTTCAAAGGGCCAGGGCTGTCTGCTCAAGCAATTCAAATATTTTGCACGTACCTTAATGCCTGCATTGGAAGGACTTCTGGCCATGGGGAAGCAAAGGTTGGCTTTGGGCTGATCAGGCCCACAGGGCCAAGCCTGGAGGCTGCCAGGCCTCATCCAGCATCAGTAGGCACCTCTCTATCACATTCACCAGTTTAGATCAAGTCTGGGGTGTGGATAGCAGCTTTCATGCTTAGGATGGAGGAAGGAAGGACTAAACCATTCATGAGGTTAAGCAGGCTGCTAACCAGAAGTTTCTTTTCAGTGCTTGTCGCACAATCAGCGTATTTATTCATGTGCTGCCTATTTGTTCAAGAATTTATTTAAAATCTCTAGGCCAAGCATTTCTACTTTTCAAATACCCTTTAAGAAACTGTATTTTTGTCTCTTTTGAAGACAAGTGTGTGCAAATACACTACCCCTCAGAATTTCTGAAAAAAAATTAGGCTTATTATTATGTAACATATTAAATTTCAACTATAAATGATAAATAAACTTTCTCGTGCTTTTCACCAAACTCTATCCTTTTGGTAAAAAGAGAAGTTTTACATGATTAGGTAACAAACTGATAGATCTTTTCCCTTTTTTGCATCCCACACAGTCCTTGCCTTCTCAGCTTGTGAGTGAGCATCACTCCTAGAGATTGTTGCGTGCATTCAAATTGACAGAGAGATTCAAAACAAGACCAAAGAAGCAGCACAACATCTAGAGAATGTCTGTGTAACAGATGTTGTCAAATGCTTGTTTTGCCTCAAAGATTACTTCAGTTTTCAAAGAATCCGGGGGAGAGAGATGGAGAGCAGTTCAGGAAAGTTCAACCCATCTGTTTAATATTTGTTTTCCAATTTTCATTGTTAATTTCTAAACCAGGCTTTACACTTAATTTAATAAAGTGTTTGGTTTGACTAATAAGGATCACTTTTGATTTTGCAAGACTAGAGGGAAGACTAGTACAAAGAAAATTCACTGTATAAACATCCTGCCCAAGAAAGGAAGGTTCGCCCATACTCCATCTACAGGATTTGTAAGTACAAGAAATTAGTTCTCTTCAAAGATTTAAACTCTTTGGATTTAGGATGCCATTGTAGGGCTGGTTGTTTATAGCTTTTACATGAACATATGGTGAGAAGTTTGACAAAAATAGTTGTACAAACAGCATATCTTAGCATGTATGAAATATTTTGAATAAAGGAGTTCCTGTGTGACCCCATTTATGTGATCCACATTGCTGCTTTTCACTAATGAAAACAAAACTGATCTGAAATTTGCATGAGTGTGATGCCTGGGGATAACAGCCTCATGAAATCAAAATGATGCAGGCTGTCTCTGATTTTGCTAAAATAAACTAGAATTTGGGAGGAAAAATCTAATGGAAAATTAAATATAAAAGCAGAGTTTCTGAAGTTTTAAGAACTCCCTCCTATTTTTTTCCTGGGAGATTTTTTTTTGAGTCAAAGATCTTCAGTTTATTATCAATGAAGAGCAGTGGTTCAAGAGGCTGCAGACACCACAGATTCAAATAAGCCCGAAGGAATCTTTATATTGTCTCTCAAGTATTGTAACTTTCACTAGGAGGGCTTTTTCTAGGTCAGCATGTCTATTACCCAAAATGGAGCTGATCCATAGATCTACAACTCAGATGCTGCTGCAAAGATAGATGTCTTGCAGGTCTTTCACTTACAATTAGATGGCATGGTAGATAGCTACTGTTAAAAGTTTTTCGGCAGAAAAGCTTTGATTTGCAATGTTTCTGCCTACCAAACCCAAACTGATTTTACTCCAAGTCCTGTTGCTAGAGTGGCAAATGTATTTAAAGGAGAAAGGGTAGTAATGCAATAGTTCTGACAGTGAAGTTCAGACAAAAAAAAAAAGAGCAGCCCTATGGAAGAAAAAGGGGTCTGATGAATCACTTCTTTGTTCATACTGTCCCTTTAACACAAAGCAGAATACAAATGTTTGAACAAAAATGATTCAATTGTTGCATTCTCAGCAATGCTTTCTCTTTCTCACTTTAAACCATCCAGAGTCCTTTGTAGCCACATACAGTGTGCAACAGAACCATTTGGAAAAATTCATCTATCAAGTTTAACAACTTTTTGGTGTAACTTCAGAGAGGTTTATTGCTTATTCATGTGGAAGTGAGTACACCCAACTTGTTTTGCCTGGTTTTGCTACTTTTGCTGGTTTGCAGGGCTGTTCTGGTAGCTGCAAATGGCTTCTCAAGTGACATTTGCTGACATTCAGTAGTGTATATTTATCAGTATTCTTCACCTCACTTCTATATGTGTAATCTATTTTATTTTGTTCTTCATAGCAACCTCTGTTCCACTGTCCATGGCCTGAAAATGATAAATGGCACAGTGGCATATTTCCCTAGCTGCACTAAAATGTCACTGTGAAAAATCTTTAATGGACTAAGTGTAGCTTTTCAGGTTATAACTTGTCAAGTTACGGAGAAATTCTAGAGTTTCTCCCTAATCCACCATTCTTTGGTACCACAGCACAGCCGGCAGAGACTAATTATAAGTTACACCAGTCAGAGCAGGGCAAAAATAAATGAAGTAGAAACTGTTTGGTCAAGGCTCATTTATACTTGCTTTCTGCACTTGTGCTGCGTTACCTGATGTGCTCTGTGCAGGCTGATGCTGGATGTACAATACTGCTTATGTATGAATATGCACACATGCTGAGATCTAGGTTATTTCAAAGAGTTTGCTTATCACTGTAGCACTGGATATATTTATCCTGCTCCTACATCTGGGGATGCCAAGGGAAATCTTCCAGGCTGGCCAAAGTAATGAAATGCTTTAAGAAATAGTCTCTGGTGGCACCTGCGAAAATGAACACTATCTGGAAATAAACAGGTGAGAGAGAGGACTTAGTGTTATTACACTATAATAATAATTATATTAATATATTAATATAATAAAATTAATTATATATATAATTATTAATAATAATATAAAAATATATATAATTATATAAAAAAATATATAATTAATATAATAAACCTCTTTTAGTTTAGGTACCGAAATAGGTCAAGAGAGGCTGGCTTAGATTTTAAAGCAGCCTCAGAAATACAATGTACCTGCCCTGGACTTAAGGATCTAGAGGACTATCCTGGTTTAGGTTTTCTCTTCCTTTTTCAGCAGTTCTTGATCAAGTTTTTGGACAAAGTGCTCAAGTCCAGAACATGTTTGTGTGAGACAGAACAGTTTTTGAGAACATTCACCCTAAATCTGACTACAGATGGTACTTGGGTGTCACTTTTCCTTAGTTTTCCCTGCCTTTGCAATGAATACTTAGAAGAAACATCTTAGGTCCTTACTTCTCTTCATTAAAAATAAACTTCCCCTGTTCTATGATCATATAGCATCAGATTTCCTCTCACTGAAGAGCTGGAAAGCACGAAAGGAACTGAATGATAGAAACAACAAGAACATTTGTTTTTCAGGAAACAGTGAATGGTGTAATTTATCTGACAAAGAGGGCATTTTTGGTATGGATGGACAACAACACCTCTTTAGATCATGCCATGAAGTAGGAAGTAGCTGAAAACTATTGTAAAGTAATTTTTCTATTACTTGCATTTAAATGGTATTTTTTTATCCGAGAGGACAAGAGGTTTTAAATCTTGACGTGACATGCAGCATAAAATACTTGTCTTTTGAAAAGAAGCCAGGGTGGAAGTGCTTTAGAGTAAAATCTACCTTCCTCTATATTCTACCATTCTCTATATCAACTTCCACCTTATTACAATCATACTATTACAAGGTCTGTGCCCTCTGATATCCCTACCAGTTCCAGAGGGTCCATATTTCACTCTTAGGACTTAAGTGTTCACATAATCAGTGATAACTTCCTGTAAGGATGTGACTTTAAATCCCTATGCCTACAAAATATACTCAGTGGGGAAAAATCTCTTGTCTGACTAACTTTAAAATCATGTCAGTCTTAGGAAGTGTCATGAGTCCATCAGCTTTCCCAACTAACATTTTCAGTGCTTATTTACTGTGTAGACACAGCACTTTGTGTCACCCAGTATTTTGCTTTAGGAGTTTCAACCTCACTTTTTTTCCAAGGCAAAGTTTAAGGAAAAGAAACATCTTCTAGTAGAATAGCTGAAAGCAACATCTGGAGTAAGGTTTTGTATACAAAGAAGGACTTGCGTCTGAAAAATTTTCCCCCCCTAGTTAAAACAGTTGGTCAAAGAGAAAATACTGCCTTTTCCAGCTGCTTTTATTATATTCTTAGACCATACTACTAAAACACCTAACAGTAACCATGCTTTACTTGTCCTGAAGGGGTGAAAGATAAACTTAAAATGCTTTTGAAATGAAGCCCTATTATATTTTAAAGTCTTTGGCTAATTACCTGCAGTTGACACTCTCCTGGAAGCCAGCAGAAGCTCTCTGCTTGGATGTAGAAATTATAAAATTTATAGGCTTTCCCCCAACACTGCTCCTAGAGGACACACAAAGGCTTTTCCCCAGTTCACTCTGCAGCTGTCAGATTACCCTGAGCTCAGTTTACTGCATTTATTACCTGTCCTTGTGAAAGCCAGATGAGTATGGTCTGCTACACTATGGTCAAGCATCCCAGGAGCTCTCAAGAGCTTTGGGGTTTTCTACTGCTTCAAAGGCACTTTCTCCCTACCCAGAGGAGTGTGAATTCTGCCACTGACTGGGGTCTGAATACGGCTCTGAGAGTTTAGCTTGCAGTGTTCTGGGGCTGCATCATCCTTCAGAAACACCTCTGCCTGCTCCTCAGGCGTGAGGCCACATCAGCCTGCTCTGTGCACTTCTTCAGTGACAGTCACTGAAAACTCTCTGGGTTGGAGGAAGCAGACCAGCATCGAGCCTTCAAGCAGAAATTGCCAGCTTGGCACCTAGTTTTTCAGCATGGCATTGCAAGGGATTCAGCCTTTCACATCTATTTATTTAGTTTGACTGTTTGTGGCCTTTCAAATGCAACTGTCTTCTGTGTGTCCAAATGCCACGGGGGATGGTTTGGCTTTGTGAAATGGTGGAAAAAAGGAAATAAAGCAGCTTCCCTAAGGGTTTATGAATAAGACACACTGCTGCTTGTGGCTTGTTTCCCATGGAGGACAAAATTTCTCCTATTTTTTGACATATATGAAGATACCACTCCTGCTCTTTGCCAGCATCTAAAGGGAGGATGTACTCAAAGATCTCAAGATGCATGCAGAGACTATCAACAGCTTCAGATTAAGCACAGCCAACATCACTGGGACCAAACTGGATATTGTATTATTGTCCTTTTTATAATCTGTTTTATTCTTGTGTGTGTGTTCAATAGTTCACTTGAAAAACAAAACACTGAAATAAAAACCACACACGTTTTTCCTACTGAAGTGGTCTACCTGACAATAAAATTCAAGTACTTCTTTCTAAAAGGTGTTTCAGAAAGCACTGAAGTTACAGTAAGGAAAAGAAAATATTCAAACTGGCCTTTTCAAAAGCACTTGCCTGATGCCCAGTTTTACTCAAATGTAGTAGGAGCAGAGCTAAGGCATGACCACAGTCCAGAGCAATTTCACACCTATAAGCATGGGTAGATTTCCTGGTGAACATTTAGGGTGTTGCAGACCCTCTCCTGTATCCTTGCTAGATTACAGACTAAATTGAGGCCAAGTTTCTGCTCTGCTCCCTAATACATATTATGGGTGCAATCATCTCTGTGTAAATCCCTTTGTAGATTCGGGCCTGAGTGTTTTTGAAAATCCCACCCACATGGGACACCCGTAGGTCAAATGAAAAATTGCATAAGCTATTAACTAAAGCTATAGCTTATAAAAAGTTACCCACAAGAAAGGTACACAGGTTAGTGCTGCTCCAGGGCATCCTTAAGTCACACTTCAGCAAGTTATAAAGTTATCTTTGGAGAGCAATCAGACCAGGTTGTCAGTCCTGTAAGGATAGATTTATGTGTCTCTGACATGTCAGTTGTCGTCTTTGCCACTTCATTGCGGCTATGATATTTCAGCAGGAGGTAACCACTGCTATTCCCCTGCCTGAAATCACATAACTTTCTTCTGTAAACATTTATTACCCTGGATATTTTCACAGGACTGCATCTCTGAATTCATCTGTATTTTTTTTAACTCTCACTCACAGGTCAGTGCTTGTTTTTCTCAAATTTTTCTCAGTTTAATCTGAATTTATGTAGCAGAAGGTTCATGGGCAAACATTTTATCCCCCAAAAAACGTTGGGATTTGTTGGGCTTTTTTAGCAATATAATTTAAAAGTTTTTTTTGTTTGTTGCTGAGGAAGTAACCTGGGTCATCACCCTGCACTGGAAGAGTTCATGTCTTTGTTATGAAGGGGCCTAATAAAGAAGTTTGTTAGTAATCTGTACTATTGATTCAATATTGTCATTGAGTTTACCTCCAGGGTGGGGCTTGTTTCTCCCTGTGTTCTCCTGAAATATTGTTCTGCAAGCTGGAAAAATGATTTTTTCTGGCTGAGTCTAAAGCGAACAATTAGACAATGGAAACTCTCAAAGTGAGTTTATGCTTAAGGCCTTAATTCTCCTTGAAGGTGAGCACAGTGGCAATGCCAGCACCATGCAGCAGATTGTGTCCTGACTGCAGCTACCCTGGAGCCTGAATCCTCATCTCAGCTCTCCTGCAGCTACCCTGGAGCCTGAATCCTCATCCCAGCTCTCCTGCAGCTACCCTGGAGCTTGAATCCTCATCCCAGCTCTCCTGCAAATACCCTGGAGCCTGAATCCTCATCCCAGCTCTAAAGCCGTGCACACAGGATTGGTGTTTGGTACAACAAAGACAGAAGCAGGAGACAGAACAGTGCAAGACCCAGTACAAATCTATAGCCTAAGTGGTACAGCCCTCCCAATATTCTTAACTTTTGTACAAAATGCCCCCTGGAGACACGTTTACAGAGTTGCCATTTCAGCAAATGACATTTTGCATATTCTTTGGAGATGCCACATAGGTAATGCAGTCATACCTAGCTCAAAGTGACCATGTGAATTGAACATGACTCAGCTGCTCTCTGGATTACACACACAGGGTATTTTATGTCAGCAGACAGTAAGAGGAGCTGAAGTGGGGCTAGAAAACGTCGAAAAGACATCTTCCCTTCAGCACTGCCATTTTGGTGATGCTGCCATGTTCTATGCAGGTAGCAGCTTATACTGGTGCATGTGGAGATCAGCTTTGTAACAGCAGAATTTTTTTGTAAAAACCAATATTTCTCTCTTCACTGTGTTTCACCAGAATTAATACTCAGAAGGTATTAAGGAAATGTTCTAAAAGCTGTAGTGATATTGCTTCCGCAAGCTCCTGGTTATCTTTCTTCTCTCGTTAGGGCATATCAAAGTTTAATAGAGCCCCATATCACTTTCCCCCTAATTCTGTACTTTAATGTCCTGTTTTCTTTACTGATTTTTTTTACTATTCCTTGTGAATTACTGATCTGATTATTCCCTTTGCCCACACCTACCTGCTGTGGTCTCCTTCCTCATGCTGGGGACAGATTGGTTTATTTTCTAATTACCAGAAGGCTTTCTATTTCTCTTTGGAATTATTTAAAAAATAAATTCTCTTTGTCATTAAAGTTCCTGAGATATTTGATCATAATTTATTCTGAAGTTGTTTGTCTCCTTTAGACTTTTTAAAATACTGTAAGTATTTTACAAGTTAAAATATATCTGATCTCACTGTTAACAGCAATCAGGTTTGAAGCAGAACCAAGTTAGGCCAAGTAAATCTCCCTATGAAACTTCCCAGCATTCCACTGATGCTCCAGTGCTTTCTTGCAGCAAACATAAGTGCTTTGAGAAGGTTTGCTTTTGGTACAAAAACAAACAAACAAATAAAGCTCCCACCAAAAGAACACATGATCTCCCCATGCATACTTGGGTTCAAATTCCTGACCTGCTGTTTCTCTAGCTGCAGAGGACTGTGTCAATTCACCCACAGCCTGGTAGTTATCCTTGGGCAAGCTGCACTCCACAATTCCTCCTGGAGGTGATCTACTTCCTATAACACAGCATTCTTCAGAGTCATTATCTGAATTTGCTTCCTCCTATATTGGGTGAGCATCCCCACAACTGCACTGCAGAACTGCGCTGAAACTGAGCTGCACTTTCTAATGAAAATTCATTTCATTGCAAAACTCCCAATCAGCTCTAATTTGGAAGCCCCAGCTGAGCTCCTGCTGTGATATATATCATAAGAGACAGATCTTGCTGAGAAGGGCTGGCAGGTTGGAGAGATGAAGGCTGAGAAGAAAAGCACAACAGAAAGGTGAAATGGCTTCCTCAGAATCACGCAATGGGTCAGTGGCAGTTTTAGGTCTTAGTGCCAGCCACAGCCCATGCTACCTCTCCCATCCTGAGCTTACAGACAGACTTAGCTTTCCCTGGTCATCTTTTAATTAACTGGATTATTCTTGCATGGAGGTTAACGCTTGGGTGCACAAGTTCAGCAGTTTTGAACCTTGCTGTTTACAAAGCATCATGTACATATATATGGCACCATCAAAAACTTTAAAGTAACAGATAACAAAGATGTCACAGTAAAATGCTTAAAAGCCAGGCCCTATTCCACCAGAGTAGGCAAGAGGACAAAGAATATCAAGTATTGTTCTAACTAAAGTCTGTCAGCTCCTCTGAACAAGGTAAGAAATATTATTAGAATTTCGCAGTTTGGAAAATCCGGCATAAGATGGTGCACCTGAGCCTGTACAGGTTGTTAAGCCAATACCATGGTTAGAATGTGATGCATTACTTAAACTTTTTCAGATGCTTCCTTAAATCTCTAAGGCAATAAGAATTTTTAGTTTTAAAGCAATTTTATTTTTTCTTCTGGCCTTACACTGATTAGGCACAGAATTAGAGATGACTTGTATATTATGAATAGTGTACCATTGTATTTTAAAACTTTTTCCTAGGAGCTTTCTGAAACTAAAATTTCTCTTTGAGGACAGCTGGTCCATGCCCCAGAGGGAAAAGATGCTTATGTCAAGGCTGAGGTTAATGATTTTAATTTGCAGTTTTTGTGGGAATATTGTTTTGATTCTGCAGATATCACTGCCTCTCCATTGTTTTAAAAAAGCAGCAATACTTAAATAAGGCTTTTCATCTTATTACCCCAAAACATGTTTAATTTTGTTTGACTAGATCATGTCAGTATGTTAATAGAATAATTGTTATTCCAAACATGCTTGGTGAACTTGAATACCAAAGTGAAGTTTATATGTTTAATCAAATATATTCAGTAATTCCAGTGGAAAATGCAGAAGTGTTTTCTGTCAATATTTTCTTGACTTTAGAAATGAGTATACATTGCCCAAATTGTCATTCTTGTGGATCTATTTTCTATCCATATCCAAGCAATTGAATTTATTTGTATGACTGTTTACAATGGCTGAAAAGGGAAAAAAAAAACCCACAAGGTCACATTGGCAATACTTGCTGGAAGTGCTTTTACAGGTATGTGATCAAGGGAAGGAAACATCTTGCAGATTTTCAAGCCGATTTTCATGAGTTGACAGATGGGTCATAAAACCAGCTGCAATTCCCAAAACCATACTGTATTTTTGGTTGTATTATAAAAAGGCAGCCATTTCTCTTTTTTGTCTCTCATGCAACATTTCATCTTTCCTTCTGCATGAGCTGATGACTTAATTCTCGTCTAGTTCCTTCAGAGAGCTTCAAAAGAGAAAAAAAAAGGCTTAAAAATATTACTTAATAAAAAGCCTATCCATAGTGCTATCACCAGTGCTATTTGGTTTAGAAGCCAAGCAGGGAACCTTGGGGTGAGAGCTGCCCATGGAATGGTATTATGCAGGCATGGGCAAGTGGCAGGATAGCGTGGAAAGAATGGGAAAAGGAGCTTTGGATCTTTGGGAGCAGAGGAGATTCTGAGAGGACACTTGAAGAAACAGCACAGAAGTGGGATATAAAATGGAAAGATCAGAGGAAGAATGATCTTGAGGGCACAGGAGCAGAACAGGGAAGTGCAAAGAGCCTTTAGGACCAAGAGGGAGTTAATGGGTTCTGTGAGGCTCCTTGCTGCTATTGACCCAGCTACCTCTCAGGATATCATTGTGGGGAAATGCCCAAAGGGAATTTGTTGAATGTGGTGTGTAAACTTTCTATATATTGATCACTAAACTCTCCACATTTTCTAGAAACAGCTTTCTCCAGTAGTGACTTACAGACACAGCCAGGAGAGAATATTTGTGGATGGGCTTTTGGTGGGTGGCGTGGCTGGCAGAGAGCAGGTGAAGGCAGTGCCCCTGAGCTCAAGTGTATCATGTTTGCAATTTGTTTCAGGACTGACCCTGAACCTTCCAGGTCCTGGAAGATTTTCTGTCCTCAGGGAATGTGAGGAAGTGTGGAGACAAAGGGAGAGACTTGAAATATTTCTCCAGGAAGAAAAGATGTAAATATTCTTGTATATTGGCTGATGGCTTTTAAAGATTTTGCTAAATAGTATGGTTTTATTACTTCTAATAGTAGAAAAACAAGTGGAAAAGAAAACATAAAGTTGTTCTAGGATCACAGTTGTTATACATTTCCTCAGATTATCTTAGTTGGAAACCTCATTTGAGATAAGACATTCTTCTTTTTAGTGGTATAGCTCCTGTTATTATAGAATTAAGGTATGATGATTTTATTGTTAACAAACAGTAAAATATAGTCCAATGTTTTCATCACATTCAAAAATGCCATAGAACTTCTGATGGAAGTATGTTATTCTTGCTTCTAGATAAAGAACCTCAAAAAAGGTTATTCATTATGAAAATTCACCTTTCCCAATGATATGTATTTTCAACATCTACAGTGTATTCAGAGTATTTTGTGTAGCTTCTCTGCTCTGAAAAATCCATGGACAAATTTTACAGAGATAGTTAGATGATGTAGATATAGCTGTATCTATTTTTCTTTTAGGTGAAAGTGGCAGCTGAAAAAAATCTGTTCTTTCAAAGAAGCAACGAAGCAGCAAAGCAGCAGTATAGGGTCAGAGCTGGAAGTCCTTCTGCTGTAAATCCACACCAATCCAACTAAGATCAAGCACTTGTGAATATTAAATTCACACTAGTGTAGCTGAGAGTAGAAATGGCCTTTGTTTTTGAAACCCTCGGAGTCCAAAGTGAAAAAAAAAAAGGAGCAGGGTTTAACCTTTAAACCTTTCACTGACCTTTAAGCAGTACTTTGGATTATATCTGCCCTTGTTAATCTGAAGCCACTTGCAAACATAACTGGCATTCCTGTTTTTCAAGTATACTTTATGTACATTATAGAATGTGTTAGCAATTGAAAAGTTTGGCTCCTGTTCATTGTGTCTTTCTCACCTTTTAAAGTGATGCTTATCTTTGTAAACAAAATTTTATAGTTAGCAACAACACAAGAAAAGCTTTGTGTTGAAGTGCATCATGTAAGTGATGGCCAGGCATAGATCTATACTCTTGGAGGTGCAAACCCACATGTTGATCAAGACATCAAATTTTGTAGAATTCCTGTATTAATGTAGAGCTCAACAAGGATCAGCTTTGTTAGCACCTCTTTCTATCACAGGTGAGTAGAAACTTCAGCAATTTTTGGCCAGACTATTATTTTTTCTTCTTTGGCTTTTCTTTCTTTCACACTATTCACATCACTGCTTTGCATGCACTTTTTTCTCACATATACCTTCCCCATACATATCTTCATTCTGGTCTATTAAATCCAAACTACAGGTACAAATGACATAAAATGAATAATGAATTTATCTTGGACAAGATCTCACTGTTCTCATAATCTAAACAGAGTTTAATTAACATTAGAAACATCTACTTCTTGATATAAATAAAATAGTCTAAAACTGGTGATTGTCATTTCCCCTTTTCATTCACACAATGATTGCAAAATGTCCTGCCATTCACATGGAAATTTGTCTTCTAAGTATGTCTGTCTTTAGTGGAAAAATGTCATGGGCAGAGCACAAATCTGTAGAGGATGTATATGTTTAAGAAATATCAGCTATTTCATATTCTGTGTCCATAATTTGAATCAGGAATTTTCCTGCTGGATTGTTACAGTAACACAGAGGAACCAATGCACTGCCCCTTACATTTAAGCTACTCTTCAAGTGCAGAAATGCTGGCCTTAGAAATTGACAAAATTACAAACAAGTTATTTTACCTTGAAGTATGAAATGCTGGAAATTGCTGAGACAACCTAGCACAACAGAGACATTCAGGCTGAATCAGTGTGAAAAACACCATTGTAGGTTTAGAAAGATAAATGGATGGGTAAAGTTTTACCAGGACTTGACATGGTAAAGACATTGACTGTCATAGGCTTTTAAAGAAATAAAGAGTTGATAAGCAGAGAGCAAACACTGAAAGGTCTTGTGATGTAGCTGGTGAAAAGCACCTGTTTTCTATGGTGGATATTTATTTGAATATGAAAAGTACTATACATTTTTTATCATCTCCCCATCTCTTGCTGTTGCGTGTTGGAGAATGACTAAATCTCTGGAGAGGAATCAGATCTGTAAAAGTTGTCAGTTGTTAAGACAAGGTATTCAGTGAATAAATGAATTATTGTACTGAAGTCCTTTATTGAATATTCCTGTGTCACTGCTTTAGTTAAGTATCAAGAACACAGGCATTTAACAATATTACTTTAAATTCAAAATGCCTTGAAAGTACTGAGATTCAATTTGCAAATGTAACCAAGAATAAAACATGTGCCTTGGATTACATGTCACTTCTTGGGATGTTTTGACATATCACATTTAGAAAATACTTTCCTGTGACAGAAATGATTAAAATAAATTTCAGTTATCTGTGACTTCTAACAGTCCAGTTTTTTGGATAGTTTGTTCTCTTCATCACAGCAAGCACCAGCTGACATGCTCATTTTTGTATCAGTGTGGAGGCCAACTGCTTAAGGCTAAAGTACTATTGTGTTCCTTGTGTGAATAATCCTGTCAGCAGCAAGGGAACACAGGCATGGAAAAGTCATAAAATGGTCAGAAGTGAGAAAATAACCTGACTTCTTTCTCTTTTCTAGAGATGATCTATGCGGTATTTTTAGACAGACCTCTTTTGTGATGGTACCAACATCTTCAAAGCCTCCATCTTTTTATCTCCTCTCAGGGGTACCAAAATCACACCAGCTCTTCAATATGTGTTCAGATGGGCACACTTAGAAAAGTAGATAAACAAATCCATTCAATAACCTGTCCTCTTCACTTCCAAAATACTGATACCAAGATAGAAAATATAAGGATACACAGGGAAGTAGTTCTCTCGTGTCTTTCATGAAAACACACTTTAGAAATTCAGTATATAAGGACCACAGGGCATTCCTCCCAAAGAGCAACCATGTCCATAATGGAAAATATACACCAGAAATTTAGTATTAAATCTACTTTTATTAAATATAGTTAAGTTAATTACAGCTTCTTAGCATCAAATTTTAGTATTACATTTAAAAAATTAATTTAAAAAATTACATTAAAAAAATTAATCCAAGTAGACAATTCCTACTACACAGTTATGCTCAAATTTGCCACTCATATTTGTGGAACTTGCAGAAATCCGAGAAAGATGGCTTTGGGTTTACTAACAAAATGTCACAATTAAACTTATCCAGGAGGGTAGGTAAGACTGCCTGTTAATAGTAACACTCTCAGAACAGCGTAATTAACTCACTGATCAAATCACCTGCCCATCCATCTAAGCCATGCAAATACTAAAACAAAAACAAAAACAACAACAACAAAAAAAAAATCATTACTTTTTGCACTGCACCTGTTCTTAGCACATGATGAGAGAATTGTGAAGACAGTGATGGAACATACAACAAAATCCTGTTGCTTCATGCTCTGTGACACGTTTGCTGTACCAGGAATGAAACAGAGAGAAGGAATTTGGTTTCTGGGATTATGAAATCTAGATCCTGGTTCTATAACCTGCTGATGATATGGGTTTCTGTTGTCATTTGGATGTGATTTTATATTCCCTGTCTTAATTAATAGTTATGGATGTTGCATGATACGGTGTTAACACCCTATCTGAAAATAAAATAAGTACTGACATGTCAAGGACTTGGCTAAAAGGTGTTTTGATTTCTCTCTGATTAGTGCTGGATCTCACTGTTGATCTGTTAATCATTTTAGCTTCATCAGATGAAGCAGAAAGATGGGCAAAGGCAGGTTCTGTTTCCCACAGCGTCCTGGGACTGGTAGCAGCTGCACAAGAGGTAAGACAAGGTTTGAAATGCACTGAGACAACCCAGATACCAACTAACCAGAATCCATGTCTCCTGTCAAACCCTCCTGCTTTCCCACATTCAGTGGGTGGCAGAAAACAACAGCTGCCCCACTCCTTACACTGTTGGCTAAGACCGTGGGATTCATGCATTTGAAAGCTTCATGTGGGAAAAGAAAGTAGAGACTGAAGCACTCACACCATAGGGAAAATGCACGATAACACCCCTGAGGGCACAGCAGGATGCACCATCACCAAATTTTGTCAGAGAGCAACACCTCTTGGACTTTTATGATGTCCCTGACCTGAGAAATGTGTTCTGTGTATAACATTTCAGAGGCAGCCCCTCGGGTGAGGCAGACACACCCCTGTTCTCTGCATAGGTCACAGAGGGAGGGAGACATGAAAGGAAAAGGAAGAAGGTTGCCCTGCCCTGGTGAGCAGGTGCTCTTCTCATCTATATTGTAGCAAGTACCCCAGGATTATTAAGGCTGGAAATTGAGGAGCTTTAAGGCTCTGGGGCTCTTATGCCTTTATGTACACTTGTGCAGAGAAGAAGCACGTAAGACTTGCAGTTCAAAATACAGATACAATTAATGCTGATGTTTGGTAACCAGTTCCTGTCTTCTGCTATGCTCCTTTGGAGGAAAAAAAAAATAGAGAGAAAGCAAGAAAAACTCCTACAATTTAACTTTGCTATAAAACTTGTCTTCCTCCCCTTAAGCATTAAAATCCAAGTACATCCCAGTAAAAAATTTTCAGGAGATGGTACACAGTACATAAAAAGCTAAGCGAATAAACTTCAAACATCAAAGTACTAGATCTTAAAGCCTGGAATTTAAAACTGCAAAGTGCACAGAAATAAAACCCTTGTGGACATGCTAAAATGTCTAATTCATTATTATTTAAAAAAAGATTAAAAAATAATTTCTTAACATTAAAGTGCAATCAAGCACTGAAGAAATTATTTAAACTTTCCATAGGAAAAAAGCACACTTTAGAATGCTACAAGGATATTGATGGCTATTAAATATTTACTTTTCTCTCTAGCTCACACTAGAAAGAGTAATTTGTATTTGGCAGAAACTGGCTGCAATTACATTAGTCAATCCAAAAGCCCAACTTGCTCATACAAAATGCAAACAAATTAGTTAAAATGGTCTAATTAGCAGACTGTAAAAATGCAAAGCAAGGCTGGCATAAAAATGTGTGCTAGACAAGTATACTTTTACAAAATAAACAGAAAGGCAAATATGAAATAGTCTAATAAATCCTAGCTAGAGAACTATAATGTGAACCCAAATATTTAGGAATTGCATGCTTTAAAGAAAAGTTTCTATGGACTCTTAAACATTTTCTTGCAACCCACATTCCATCATGAATACATGATTAATATCACAGCTGAAGTTCTGGGATTTCAGCTGAGCTCTGTGGAGCCGTGTGAGGGCAGGTTATATATACATTTTGTGTGAGAATATACACAAACACAGCTCCTAGTCAAGTTAATCACAGTGCAAGGTAGCTTTGGAGCACAAAAAGAATATAGGATGTGGCCTATGGAAGGAAGGTCAAGTCATTTCTTTACATGTAGTGTATTTGTTTTTGTTTCCACTATTAAGATAAATAACTGAAAGCATACGGAAGTGTGGAAACAGCTTAGATAAAAGATAAAACGTGTTTGCTCTTATGAGAAGTATAAACTGTGGGCATTGTCCATAAGGACTTAGCTTACTGGCTGAAAAGAATCACTACAAAATCTCTATTACTGTGGTCACTGGTATATTAGACCAGAAAGGGCTTTAGCATCTTTTGCTTCATAACACTGCTGCAGTTTCTTAGTCTGTGGGGTTTTAACTTTCTGGTTTCTGCACTGTACATATAATAGTTCCTTATGATTCATAAAGTATCACATGAAAGAAGATGCTGTGAGATGATGTGAATTTGTCCCCTCTCACCACATGGTCCCCTGTCCTTCAGCATAGTGGAAGCCACATTCTTTCTTCTTGCCACCTGACAGATGGCAGAGAATGAGTGGCTTTGGCAAAATAGTAAGAGATGCATTGAAGAAACAGTGACCATGAACTTCCAACAGAAACATGATGTTATTTGGCACAAAGAACCTGTGTGCAAAAGCAGTGCAACAGCAGAAGTGTTCTGCCTACCCTGCAGAGGAGGTCACCCAGTAGAAAAGAGCCCTTGGCAGAAGCAGAGCAGTGGCCACAAGGTGTGGTCATTCCAGCCATTAGCACTCAGAGCACAGGAGAGCTGACTCAGTTACTTCACTGAAATGGTTTATTGAGGCACCTTCACTCCCCCATGCTGTCCTCAGACTGCCTCTCTGTGCCAAAGAGGTTCAGTCCATCACACTCTCATGAAGGGTATTTATTTGGTGGGAAGGATGCCTCTGCTGGTTTCAGTACCACTGGAGGAGTAAGGTCTTTGTGAGTGTAAAAACAGAGTCCAGTAGAGATGGATGGTCATTTGACTTAGTGCTTTGAGAACAGTAAAGGTAACAAGTGACATCACAGAAATGGTCTTTTCCATTTTCTTACCCATCACCAGATAGTCCCAACTCACAAAATTTTCTGTATACTCAGAATCTTGAATCCCACAGAGCTCCCTGGTAATGACTGGATAAAACAAGGATGCTAGATCTATCAGGAAGAAAAGGAAAGACTGGCATCAAAAAGGAAATTTAAGAGAATCAAAGCTTGGGGTATGAGGAAAGAAGTCCTCTCATGTGGGAAGGCTCTATCCCACTGTAAAGAAATTCCGCTGTGTTGTCCCAGTTTTGTTGCTCCGTGTCGTGGGTGACAGACAGCTGACAGGATGGCTGCTCTGTCTCTGCCATGCTTATGCTGAAATACCTAAGTACTGTGGTTGCTACCTGTTTGAAGGAGCCATGGGCCCAAAGACCAAAATTCAGCACCGTTCTCCAGGCTGGTGGCTACAATGCTTGGTGTCCTGTGTTTTGTTGCTGCTTCTAACAGCCAACTGCAGCAAACTCAGGTGAGTTAATCAACTTCCTGCCTGGTGCATGGCTTTGTTCATTCTTCTCTATATCTGCTGGCAGCTCCACTATCCCTTAGTTGAAAATACTAGGAAAGGCTTAGATTCCTGAGCTTTTGCAATGTTCCTGCAAACCAGCCTCGTACAGAAGTCAGCCTGATTTCACAGAAAGCTTGACTCCAATCTCTACTTACCCCAGTGAAGAGACTTCCTCTAGACTCAGTGGCTGCAGCTCATGCACAGGTTACATCTGGTTGCTATTTTTAGTGAGACATCGACAGTGGAATGAGAGAAATGATGCAGGTACTGTATCTCTAGTAAACCCACATAAAGAGATGTGAGTAGTGAGGAAAGGGTTGAGGTCATCCAGGAAAGGGTAACAGGAGATGTTTTATGGGAACTTGGGTGGATGGGAAAGTGAACACAAAGACATAGGGAGGAAAAGTGATAGAGATGAAAACTGAAGCAGAAAGAATGTAAGAACTATACCAAGAAATCATGTGTAAAGAAACTAAAAAGGTAAATGACAAGGAAGGCTAATTGTATATTTCATTGCCTGAAACAGCG